CAGCAACGATGTGTTTAAGGCATGCATACTTAATTTATGTGAAACATGCATTTGATGTATTATTTATGTTACATGTTCTTGAGGTTTGGAAGTATGCATGTTGAGGTTTATGTCAATACATTGTATTTATATTTGAATGCATTTGCACATCATAATCATGAAAGAGGTTTTATATTCATTATTTTGATGAAAGGAAAAGGAAAAGGAAAGGTTTTCAAAGAGGAACGACTAGGTAATTTCTTTAGGTTATGGGAGAAGAATGATCACCCTCTTTTAAGGAAAAGAAAAAGGAAATGGAAATGAAAATGAAAATTATTATGCGAAAGTACCTAGTGTTTGTTCTTTCTTTTTTTTTTTCACAAATTGCATGTTCTAAAAGAGAAATGATTATATACATAATCAACAAGGTTCGCTCAAAGAGAAAAATGAATTTCAAAGGCATGAAAATATTTTTCTAAAGGTTGCATCATGTGCATTACATGCATTGTATGGATTACACTTATTAGGCATTGCTCACCTTTGTTTCTTATGGTGTAAGAGAAAAGAAAGATGATTAAGGACTATCATTGAGAAAAGCAAAAGACTTGCCTTTCGTGTGCTTAGTGTGTTAAAGTGTGAGGAACTTTACTTTTGCTTAACTTAGTTTTTGGTTATGCGTATTGGTATTGAGTTATGCAAATTTTAGTGTGTATTAATTGATGGTATGGTTAGAATGTTGAGTTGATATTATGTTATGGATTGTTTAGTTACATAACTTGGTAAATTAATTTGTCACTTGACTAATTAATACAATGAAAAAAAAGTTAATTTGTTAGGTCAAGGAACTAATTAAAAGTATAGTGAAGGTAATAACTAAGTGGTTACTTAATTTAGTAACTAATGAACTAATGATAGAAAGTATAGAATTAAAATAGTATGACTAAAAAGGTTAGTAAGGTTAAGGCATAAAATGAAATTAATAGTCAATGAATAAATGCATTTAATGGATTAGTTTTAAGTAAATTTGGAACCAAAGTTTCTTAAGTCTGAAAAATGTTTCAAATGGCTAAAACTTAGTTATTAGCCTAAATGAATTTATTAAATGCTTTAGTGAATTTTTGGAATGAACTCCTAGCCTCGTGGAATTTGTATAAAAACAATGGCATTAAACCTTGATTTAATGGTTACCGTTCATTGATTATTTTCTATTTAGATGCAATGCATGATAATTAAATTATTTTTATATGAAATTAATGTCAAATAATCCTACTTTATGATATGTGGAATATATGGAAATGAAATAATCCTAAATTAAATTTTATATGAATTTCTAAAAGAAATTTGAGAAAAATAATAGACATGGTTCAATTTAATTTAATGTAAGGTATTTTATTTAAATGATTAATTTAGATTTTAAGAATATGGATCTTTGACCAAATTATAGTATTTAATATTTCTATACATAGCGTAGGAATATTAATTAATGTTAGTTGAATTTTTAAAAAGTTTATAACTAAGTTTTACTTAATGTGGACCTATTATTTCTTATTTATTAGGAATCCCATACGAGAAATGCCCATTTTACTAATAAACTGAAAATGTTAAGGGAGGAGGCTTGTTGTTTTGCATTCATTATACCACGATTGTAGGTCCATGTCGATAATACTCTCAACCTATCTAGGTCCTAAGTTAAGAGTGTTACGAAGTAGAAAAAAATAAGTCAATAAATTTAAGAGGCCTAAAAGATAATTCGCCTCATACAGGGAACTGTGTGGACTACGGATATAATGTTGGGATCAACATTGTGATCTTTAGTAATGGATTGCTCTTTATCAAGATCTATAAGGCCATCATCAACATCCATCCCAACTTTAGGTGTGGCATCTTTAGGCAACTCTTGATAAATGGTTTATTAAATACGGTTATTAAAGGGTGTAGGAGGTAACTAAATCCTTGTCGAGAGAGCTTGGGTTAGCACTTTAAGTTGTTGTTTTGCTCTAGAGCTTCAAAAATTTTGCTATGGGAATCTTGCATCTTTTGTTGGATTTCTTGTAATGTAGTAAGGACATATACTAGATAATGAACACTTGGTTAGTTAGTTTGAGGAAAAACTTCAAAAGTGTCGTTATGGGCTTGTGAGTCATAAGAATCTCCCATGTTTTCATTGTCAAGACTAGGTTATTGGGTAGCGAAAGTCTCAAGTTAGTTGGTTTTCTTACCGACTTTAAATGGCGACATTTCTTTACACATTAACACTTTCCAAGCAAAGTCATCAAAATATAAAGAGGATTTGTGTTTCGTAGAATTTATTTGGTTATAAGATGGGTAGTGATAATGTTATATCTAATAATAATCGAGGTACCGAGTTTTGAGAATGAGACTATTTCCACCGCACCTTTGAGTTTGGAGACGGATGGTACGATGGCAACCTTTGAACACCGATGCAGACAGCTCATCAATTAATGAGAGACAAAGTAGCAAGAAACATAGGAGGAAACGACATTAGAGGAAGAACATGCAACTTTAGCAAGTGAGAGCATAATGGCAGAGGTATTTTTACACCGATTGTGATGAGACATAGGAAATATTTTTCAATGATTGAAGAACAATGATGGGAGAGGCTAATCAAAGGAGAGTTTCCTAGGAATGTGCCTTGAGTGCACTATTCCAAGCAAGAGTCTATACTAGAGAGAGAGTGTGTGGGTTTTAGTGAGAGAATGTAAGTGAAATGGACATTGAGAATCTCCAAAAATGAAATAAGGAATGGTATTTACAAGTACAAATAAATGAGACTTAACTATTAGGATGTTGCCAAGTATCCTAGTGATTGACGGCTAGATTGATGCTATGTGTTTAGAGTAGAGATGGCAATGGATGGATACTCAGATCCATTAGTTTAATTTTTTACCCTATATATATATAGGGTAAAAAATTATCCATTATCCATTAAAAAATCACCATATAAATTTTTATCTAACCTATATCCAATCCATATTAGTTTACTCGCCCATTTAGTACTCATTTAATACCGACTAAAAATAATTTGTAAAAAATATTCATTCTAGTCTCTATAATTTTCAATAAAAGTTTGTATGGTCCTTAAATTTTATTTTTATTTTTTAATTTTGTTGATTTCTTTATAAGTTTTTTTGGTCCTCAAAGTTTTTTTTAAAAAATATTTTTGTTCTTAATTTTAAATTTTATGCACTTAGATCTCTATATGTTAGTAAAAATAAATAAATAAATAAAATAATGGATATTAATAGGATAAAAATTAGGTATACATATCTTACAACTATATTAATAGATATATATTTTTTATCTTTATGCAATTTAATATCCATTGAATATTTTTAATTGATATTTATTAAATCGGATAAAACAACCACTCAATTTATGCTTATTCATTGAGGGACACATAGTTATGGTCTCCAAAGGATTAAAGGGTCGCCCTTCACAGATGCTATTCTGAACCCAGTATGCAAAACCTCTGTAATCATCCCAAAGATCCAAAGCTTAGTCATGGATCCTGCCACCAACCCATGACTAGCTTGGTTTTCCTTTTCTTTGTAACATGAGCCCAAATATCTTATTTAACCCATCAATGTTGTTGCTCCATTTAGATAAGAATACAAGCCGATGCAAAAAAAAAAAAAAAAAAGGAGAAATGTGTTGATTGATATTCTAAAATTGACTAAGAGGAATAAAAATAAACATAAAGTGCCAAAATCAGCATCTAGAATCTGGATTATGCTGCTGTTTGTGCCCACAGTTTTCTGGTCATATTCCAAGGATGTCGTTTTCCTATCCTTCTTGATTTCTGGATTAGCTGCTCTGCTGCTTGACTGTTATTAATGTTGGGATCAGTTTTCCGCTCTGATGTTGTGCCTGTTTCTGTTTCCAGGCTTTGTATGTTTGTTTGGGATGGTACTTTGGAAGTCATCTCCTTATTGGCCTTTTAGTGCTTACCCGCATCCTTTTTAATAATACAACTGATTCTATTCATCAAAATAAAAAATAAAAAATAAAAAAGATAAAAAGAGCATTCGGGGTGAAACCTGTGATGTTATATAAGGAAATTCTGATTAAGAAAATTAATGAGATGTTTTGGACCAGTACAAAGAATCAGCCTGATGTGTATTCAAGAATACGTGTGTTCTTCTTGAGTATGGCTTCTACTGAAGTACGGATTGCTTGGCTTCGATCGATGTTCACAGAAGAGACAGAAAATCTTAGGTCAGCATTACATTTTACTGGCCAAGTTTGTGGGTGCGTGTTTGTAATGTAGTGTGCCAGAATTGGCTCTAAATCTTCTCTAGCCTTTAAGCGTTCGGGTTTCCTAGTAAATTCTACTCTTTAAGAAGAACTTTTGTGCAGTCACTTACCTTCTAGGATGGAGAGGAGCTTCACAAGGATTTGATTCGTCTCTGTCGTGATGATACAAGCTAATGTCTGCTGCTGCCTACAAATTTTAAAATCGAAGTTTGAAACATTGTTGCCGATTACATTCACTGTTGGAAGGCTAATTTACCGTACAAGGAAGCTTGTCTTTCTGAAATGGCATACAAAGAAGAAGCAGAAGCAGAGGCTTTTCAAGCAAATCGTAAGCCGATGGGGCTCAAAACTCGTGAAATCTCCAGTCTAGTGATAGGAAAATAATGTTAATGTTCCTCCATTTGAGACCTCAAATAGCCCTTGGATTTTTATTTTCTTATCCTGTTTATGATTCAGAAATTGCCCCTCTAGGCTCACTGCAATTCAGAAATTTGCAGCTCTAAGAAGTTGACAACACAATTCAAAAAGAACAAACCTAAAAGTTTCATATATTCCTTCTAATCAATATGTTGTGTCATGTTCTGAAAAGTTAATTCTTTACAATCCAGCATATAATTGCAGTGCTTAGACACAAATTATTTGCTTTAAACGAGGAAAAAAATATATATAACTCGCTATGAGAAAAGAAAGACAAGAGATTACAGGTAAAAAATAAAATTAGAAGATGTTATTTGCAGAGTAGCTAGCTACTTCCCAAACAGCTGCCGACGCCTGCCTGGTTTGATGCGTAAACCAGCTGCCTCACCAATCACAATCTCATCAACTAAATCCTTGAAGACCAAACGCTCAACATCTAACACTATGCCAGAAATCTCACTCTCAAAATCTATCCAACTCTCTGAGCGACGCATCACATCATCCCACAAAATGCTTTTCAAACCATCTTCCTCATCCTCTAAGCTGCATTCTGATTTCCTGACTTGAAGTTGCTCCATCTCTGAACATAATTCTTTCAGAAGCTTTTGAGCACTGAGGGTCTTCTTTGCCAGCTTATCAGACTTCAACCATGGATCAGGAGAGGGCTCCACTAAAGCCAACTTTTTGACAAGAATTTCATTAACAGCATCAAATATGAGCTTCCGGTGAAATTTCTCCAGGTTTGGCTTTGAATGGAAGGACTTTCCAGGGCTGCATTCTTCTTTTGAAACCAAATTGTTGGCCTTGGTTTGCTCCAATACAAAGAATAACTCGGGGTTAATGGGGTGACCAGATGGGTGGAGTTGAAATGTTGTCAGACCAGAGCCAAGGTCTCTGAGTAGAAGTCCTGAAGCTAACAAAATCTCAGAAATGTATCTGTGATCTGGATTTGTGTTCTCACAAAGAGACGCTATGTAATCTGTGCTGGCTTCATTGTGAGTAGAGTTTAATCGTCTAAGCTTTTGTACCAAATTCTCAATGTTTTGTAATTTCTTGCGATTGATCTCTGAGGACAGACCAGAGGCCACACTGCTGGACAAGAAGCTATCTACAGGGTTCCACTGATCTTCACTCTGTTGATCATGGGAATCTTTAGCGCCATCTCCTGCAGTATGAAATAATATCCCTTGAGATGAGAGAAGCCATCAAAATAGAAAATAAGGTAGTGGTGACAAAATGAATTTTACTGCAACTTAAAATTGGCCTTGGGCCAGGTAATGAAACCCAGAATTATACTAGATTGATGACTTATGGATCAAACAAAGGTTTCCAGCTAAAATTATTTTATCCAACCTATTCTGATCAAACACGAGCATCCAAAGTAACAATGGCAAGACATTCTTGTTGGACAAGAACTTCTCTCTGGTAGTTGGGGTCAAGCAGGATGAATTACAATGACAAGCAGAACTTGAATATGATGATGATGATGATGACGAGGAGGAGGAGGAGGAGGAGGAGGAGGATACTTCTTTTTCTGTTTGCAGCTTTCTATTTCATTTATTAACAGGTCCAATAAGTACTTTTTAATATAGTAGGACCATAATAGATGACACTGTTCAACTGCCTTGCAATCTTAAAAACCTAAATTATTGACTGCATAATATGAGCAGAAACTCCCTCAATGCATGATAAATTTCCTGAATGTGTTGCTAAAAATATAGACGAAGATGCTACATAGGCTTTTTAGAAGCTAATAGCAAAACCAAAAACTTCAGAGGCCAGATAAGTACATGTAGCGTGCCAACAATGCATCCCCACAAATACATGGGTTCACCGTTTAGACCAGACAAATTTTTAATTCCTATGTAAAGGTTGTTATAGATTAACTTATCTAATCAAAGCAAAACATAATATTGAGTCGTTGCAACATCCAATGACCGATTAATTATATTTAGTCAGTTTACATTATGCCAAAATCCAACTAAAGTATTTTTATGCAAAGCAGAATTTTACCTTTGAGCATATTTGGTATCTGCTTTACAGGAGACAATGTGTCATCTCTATATACTGATGCATCAAGTACAGAGACAGGACTAGGATGCTCTGGGGCAACAACAGCAAATTCTGCTGATGTCCCATCTTCTTCAAACCTTGGGGTCAATTTCTGAGAAAAACCAAAAACAAAGTGTCAACTATATGATTGGGATAGTTGAGTGACTAGAGTAGTTTAAAAGCACTTACTTTGTGTAATGAGCCAGAAACTAAGCTACTGGCAGCATTCAGTGTTGGACTCTGGCCACCATAGTTCTCGGTAGATCGTTCAGTACTGGTGACTTCCATATCCGTCTTCAAGTCATAAAAAGTAGCATCTGAATGCAAAGATGTGTCATCTCCTTGGTGACTCGAAGTTCTTGATTCGTTACTTATCTGACTTAATTGGTCATCACTCTGTGGCATTTTGGAATATTTTGACCTGTGTTTTCCACCAGGGGAACCTATTTCTGCTGGCTGCCTGTTGGGTTGCCTTCTTGGTTTGCTTGTATCAGATGGAGGGGTAGGTGGACGAGATCGCTTCTCCAGTTCAAGTTTCTTCTGTTGAAATCTTGGGCTCACAGATCCCGAACTTCTTACTGAACTAGTGTTGCTTTCTTTTGGCACTTGTTGGGATCGTGTTGAGGATTGAGTTGATTTTGTATTCTTGACAACAGTTCCCTTAATGCTGGAGCTGGCAGAAGGATCTCTCTGGATGTTTCTTGGAGATTGATCTTTAGCTATTCGGCTATTATTGGATCCCTTTTTACCATCTGCATATCCACCAGCAGGAATTTTATGAAGGCCAGAATGGCCATCTATAGGAATTACCGAGGAAGCAGGAATACCAGATTTCTCAACTAGTTTGGCTGGTTTCATGATCACAATTGGGGATTCATAAGTCCTCAAAGAATCAGAACTCCTAGTTGTGGGAACACCAGCATGATTGTCCTGTTGGTTTCGTTGGCTTAGCAACCTTGGCTTTTGACTTGGACTGCTACATTTTGGTTCATGATCTCTTTGGGGTACAAAATTCAAAGCTTGTTCTTCTTTTCTAGTCTCCAAGAGCCCCTTAGCCTCCATTGCTTCCAGAATCTGTTTAAGAGCTCTGAGATCCTTTCCACATTGTTTGAACTCAATATCCTTAAAACTCTTCTCAATCTCACTGTAAACTGAAGGGAATGAATTTGGTGTATTCCCAGCAACTTTTGCAGGCTTGAAAGGTTGTTTCTGAGATCTTTGACTCCTATCCAGCTGCTTCCATGGTGCTGGTTCAATTGGCAGCCTCGAAATGGGTTTCATGACCAAATCAGGATTTTTCCACCGTGGTGATGTTGGATCTTTCCCTAGGTTTTTAGGAGAATTCGGAATCCGGGTTGGTCTGTTTAGATCATTTGTTTTTAATGATCTTGAGAAGGAATCTTCATGTTCCACTGAGTTCCTGATCAAACCCAGCTGACTATAACTGGAAGATGCAGAATCTGGCAATTCATCCAAGCCCATCAGCTTGGCTACCACACTAGGAGGCCGTTTCTGCGTTTCAAATGATTGCTGTAGACTAAAAATCTTTTCATTTGAGTTGCTGCTACTTTTTAGATCTTTTGAAAGGTAATTTGATCTTGAATCAGTGTTGGATCCACGCATTGAAATTACTCTACTATCCAGTGAAAGTCTTGGAAGCTCTTTTAGCTTTGGGGTGGCCTTGATGGTATCTCGAGATTCAAAAGACAAACGATTGATCTCCCGCCCATCATAAGAAAACCGAGGAGCATCTTTTGGAATCGTATGCCAAGACCCATCTTTTGCTTCATATGACGATCTTGGAGGCTCTTTAGTTTCATTGTAATACCAAGGTGCTTCACGAAGTTTAGCAAGAACTCTAAGAGACTCCTTGAAATCAACAGGAGGAGCATTTTGCTTTCCTTTGTGCCCAACTCCATAACGTCCATCTGCAGATTTGGAGGCCTGTAGTGGCCTCGGTGAATCTTTATGCTTCACCATATGGCTCATTGCTTCTTCTTTTGCTGTAGTTTGGACCGATAGCCCTCTAGCCTCTCTATACATAGAATCCTTGACAACATCTCGTAGATCAAGAGATTGCCGCCCTAAATGTGCAGAGGTACTTGGCTGAGTTATAACCGGGTCCCTTGAGGGAGTTTCAGGAAAAATAATTCTGTCAAAGGAAGATGCTTCTGGTTGAGCTGTTCTATTGCAGTCCAGAGAAGACAAAGAAGATGAGCAAGAGGATGAGAAAGATGGTCTTGATGATTCTGTAGAAATTCTTTGCTTCTCATTCAAACTCTTGTTTAAATTAATGTCCTGCAATCAATAGTTCATATTAACTCACAAACACAGCTAGTATAGAGCACAGAAACAAGTGTAGGTTAAAAAAAAAAAGCAATAATGTAATGACAAAATCAAATTGGAAATGATTTTTGTGGGGGGAGGGGCGCTTGGGAGTAACACATACTAATTGTTGTTTGACAATCAATCAGATATAAATTCTACACTGTTTTAGGCATATAGCTGGACTGAGCCTTTTTCAATTACTTCGGACAGTTAATGAAATTTTCCAGGAACTGAGGATGCTTACAACTGCTCTGTTCGGATTGTATGCATTAAACAATTCCCTTTCTGAGCTGCCATTTTTGATGTGGGAATTACCTACATTGTAACGGGCACATTAGTGATAGATCGACTGTTTACGCTTACAACCAAACCAAAATAATACAAATAATAATAAATAAACTGGAAAAACTACTGAAGGATCCGCAAACAGCAGATGTTCAGTTAAATATTCTTTGCAAACATAGAAAGATGATTTATCAAGAAGTTAGAATATATACAACTTTGTTAAGTTTATAGACATAAGTTAGCTCTTTCAGATGAAGTGATGATTGCTACAGGAATTTCCCGGCAACAATAAATGCCCACGACGACAAAACAGTTGGAAATAACACCATTTCGGTGAGGCGTTGCTGATACTTTCAAGGAACCATAGACATATGTCTATCTATTCACATTCACCCCAAATACAAGTAGGCATGGAAATAATTTGAGAACAAAGATTAGAATTAAAGATCTCAAAGAAATTAACATCCAAAAGACAACTTGTATTATCAGAAGCATAAACTATTCAGATACACGCATCATTTTCTTTTCTTCTAATTTTCTCAATAGAAAAAAAAAATCAATATTAACACCTTTACTGAGTGGAATTAAGAGCAATTTTTTTTTTACCAAGCAATAAAGAAATTAGTTTTTTTTTTCCCCCTCATCACATGCCACTGAAGATGATGAAGGATTCAGGATGAGTCAAGAAATAGATTTTAACCAAGTAAATGAAGAGACTTGATTCATGAAATGAATAGTTTAAAGCTAAGCTACACCTGATTATGAAATTACCTGGAGGAAGCCTCTTCTGGTTGAGACGCCTACCGGTGAGGACCTGGTGACGATCAAATATTTGAAAAATCCCAGTCATGCACCCGATTTGCTTTTGCAAATCTGGATTATCATCTGCTAAAGAATGTAAAAGCTTTGCAGCCATATCCTCTTCTTCTCCTCAACTAACTCTTTTCAATTCTTCCACTTTGTAAAATCTGTCTCCCTTAATCGAAACCACAAGATTACAAGATTGGAAGCCCCTATCTCCACCAAACTCTGAATCTATGGATTAGAACCAATGCTTGAAAAGCATAAAGTATGAGATATCTGAGCAAATTCTACGGTAAACCAATCAAGAAATTGTGATATCTATATAGTCTCCTTGTATACTTTTTGTTTTCTTCCTCTGAATAATGTGCAAAATCTAAAGCACAAACTGCGCTTTTATTAACACTAGAAACCAAACGAGAATGAAGCACTTTCCATATAAATGTAAATCGAATCCGAATGACTGATTTCCAAAAACAGAAGGTAAGCAACAAATCAGATCAAATCCGTCTGCTTATCTGCTAGCTACTAGACCCCTAAAAATCTCTTTTACAAACTCAGTGATTTCCAGCTAGTCACAGCTCAAGAAACATAAGAGTTGGCATTTATGGATACCCTACCCACAAAATAAAAATCTGTCCTTCTAGCACCAAAATCACAACCCCACAAATTTTCCTCTTACAACACCATTGTACATTTTGGATTTTCCGTGGAAATCCTCCAAAGCGTGAAGCTTTTGCAGCAAGAAAGGAAAACTAGATAGAAAAAGAATAATCCCAGAAAACCAAAATCAAATATTGCTTGAAACTGAAAGATACCTTTTACATAGAGAGTGGTCTGACTCTCACAGGACAAACCAGACTGCGTTGCAAATTGTAGTAATAGAACCAAAAGAAAAGGGTAAGGGTAAAAGACCCAACACTCATTACAACATGTAGTACTACTAACTAGTACATACTACAACCGCAGAAGAATGTACCAAGTACAGTTATCATCAGCAACATCACTTCCACTTCCAGTTGCCTAAATATAAGAAACTAATTCCAACGCAAAAGGAAAAAAGAATCGATATCTCTACAAGCTAATGGACATGTAAGAAAGCAAATTCATTCCTTTCCTTTCAGTTCACAGAACAAATGGAAAGACAGCCAGAAAGCGATAAGAACGTTTGTCAACTGGTATGAGGCAACGAATGTGGCCAGGACTGGTGAAAATAATACAGATGGCATAAATAAATAAATAAATATTTCCTTTTTTGTTTTAAGAAAGAGAAAGAGAAAGAGAAATGTGGGCCAGATGTCCTCTAGGCTCTATATCACACATCCATGTGGGATGAGTATGTTAGTGGGTCTAAAGCTGTCTTCAAGACATGTGATTTTGTCAGGACTGAGACAGAAATGAAGAAAGAAAGAAGCACTCCTCCTCCTCCTCCTCCTCCTCGTCCTCCACCTCTTCTTACCTCTGCCAACTCCAAGTGTCCTTTTCTAGTATACTTGTCTGCTTCTTATTTCCCAAATCACCCTCACTTTTCTTTTATTCTCATTTCTACCCCTCTCGAAACTAATCCTGTAATCCCATGCCATGTCTTCTTTTTTTCCCCTTTGCTCACACACTTCTGGACAAATTTATGCCAGCTCGAATCAAGATTGTTTGACAATGCAATTGGCTACAATTTTATTCAAGAAAAATAAATCCATTTTCCTGCTCATCGCTGAAATGAGTTAGTTGTTAGTTGCTAAGATTTACGTTCTATCAAATGGTAAGTTGCACAAGTGGGAAACTCTTATTCTCCAACTCCCCCTATAAATAAAGCCTTGGATTATTATTATTTGCTTTTCTAATCATCTGCTGCATGCTTTTTTAGCACAAAATACCCCTTGAAAAAAAAACGCGGAAAGACTTCTGTATTTAAGTATCGTAAAAAGTTTACTAATTAGCTCAAAGCTAGTGAGAGAGTGGGAAGTTAGAGATTGAAAATTAAGAAAGTATTTACTAATGTGGAATTGGATATAGAGTCAAAACAGTCGGCCAAAAAAAGATAGATCTGCTTTTCTCTTGTAACTAATCGATTATCTCATCATTATAGTTTATTACATATCCTTAAATAAATAATTATATACTTTAATTGAGTTGCTGATGGTAAAGATGTAGGAAAGACTACCAAACATGGAGGCCACTAAGGCAGCCTATATTTAACTCTTAAATGTCGACCATTTCCCAAAGTTTTTTTTCTTTTTTTCTTTTTCTTAAATAATTCTGATGTTGATATTCAGTTGTAATAAGAGACCATGAAAATATTACTATAATACATTTTTGCTTAAGTTTATTTTACTATATTAAGAAGTTTGCAACATTAGATTTTGTTTTCTTTTTTCATTTTAATTTTTTTTATATTAAATATGTTTTAAGATCATGTTGTACATTAATTGAAATTAAATCTCTTTTTTAAACTATTTTAAAAATACATTTTTTGTTAGGAAAAATATAAAATGGCAGGCAAAGGATAGTAATGATTAGAGTTGTGTAATCACTATCCTTAAAAATATTATTTCGTATCCCTCAAGATGAAATCAATCCTTCCGGAATTAAAACTAGAAGCAAAAACAATAGAAATGATAATAACCCAACAAAGAAGTATGAAGCGAGAGAGGGAGGGAGGATTTTTTATGTGTGTTCAATATTGACGATAAAGGTGGTATTTATAAGCTAATTTAAGCTAGTTTAGTGAGAGAAAGGTGGGGATAATGACTGGAGCAAAATCAAAGAGCACTACCAAAAATCTAGACCGATAAATGGTCATAATGAACCTTTCATGGTAGCAAAAATAAGAGTTATCTTGAAAAAGTCCAGGTTTAGGCCGTAAAACTTAAATGGGTGAGTTGAAAAAAGAGCTTGGATTAGGCCTTGTTATTACATGCGGAGGGCAAACGAGCCGTTTTACCTTAGTTTGGCCTAACTCGTTTGTGCGCAAGCTCAATCCATCTTACTTGCCTTTTACAAGCCCATAATACATTTATCTTAATAAAGTGTTATCTCATGCCTCTTTTTTAGCAACGTGGGATGAAAGGTTTTGACAACCTTTTGAAATATTCACAACAATCCCGCACATATTTCAAAAGGTTTTCATAGGTACAAGATTTTGTTGGGTTTATACCGAGTATAATCCATTAAGCATAGTGCTTTTTAGGCTATGAGCTAAACTTTGAATAAATAAGACTTAATTTACTAGATGACTAATGAAATTCAAAATTTATATGAACCAATAATCCTTATAACAAATTATTGATCTCACCATTCACATTACACCCCCACAACTCTACCGTTTAACGTGGTTTTATGCTAATAAGCCATGCGCATGCTTGGTCATTTTTTAGTGATCTAGAGATTTTGCCAAAGAATCTTATAGGAGTGGCTCCACTCTACACTCATATATGTGATTCTAGCAAGTGTATACCGAAACTCATATACTATTCATAAGAAATATGGAATTCATTAAAAGTTTAACTCATCCTCACTTTAATTTCGGTATAACACCACACATCATAAAAGGGATTAGAAAAATTAGTGCTATCATAAGATCAACAAGTGACTTCTTATTACCCATATGAACCTAATTCATGGGATCACCAATCACATAGGTTGGGTTACCATCACTATTAATGTCTCAAGTTGCTTGTAGTCCCATTCCCTTCAATGTTTATATTAGTCTAGGTGTCCAAGATTCAACCTTGATTGGATGGTTTAAGTTATTGTATCATTGAATGATTTATTTTATCAATAATAAGAGAAATCTTTATATTAATTCTTATTTTTTTATATTTATTTATTAAATAGAATTAGATAGAAGCTCATATGATATACATTTTCATTAATGATTGATCGAAAGATTGTGAGACAAACATTAATTCACTTAAATGATATCATTAAACGTCATAAGTCGTAGTATTGTCAAGAATAGACATCGACTATATGCAGTTAGACTTGTGAGTGATATATTATGCTATAAGATAGCGAGTAAGAGATCTCACACCTATTGGCATGATGATACGAAAGCAAGCACTTAGGTGATTTATGTTAGAGAACATATCACTAAACTTGACTCGTCATAAAAATCCATTTGGTTTAGTCTATGAGAATCTCATATGAGATGAGTACAACTAGTCTTTTGACTTAAAGTCATTATGGTTATCTTATTAGAGGATTTATATACTTTGACACTCGTTTCGATGGACCTAATAAAAGGTTGCACATGAGCGATTTAGTAGGTGCACTAGGAATCTAATGGAGATAGATGGATGATTAAGATAGGACATGTCATTCTTTATATGCTAAAAGAGTTATCACATTATACTTCGATGAATGTTTACTCAAGAAATTCGTGGCCACAGTAGGATTACATCAATAGAGCATAATTGGTTTAATTTATAAGCTAAGACATTTGAAAATTGAACAAAACTTATGTGATCATAATCGAACAAACTAATAATCAAGTTCGAGATCACACTCGTAATAAATTGATATGAGGACCGAATTATATGGTAACCATGTTCGTAAAAGGTAACCGTAGATTAATTAATTCTCCTGAGAACTCGGATAGTCATGACATCTTGCTAGAGGCTAATCTTGATTTATATATTAAGAGATAAAAAATATATCTTTTATTCTTGATACATTGCCAATATATCTAGGAGCCTATTGAGTTACACACATAAGTTTAAGCATTCATATAATAAAAAAGAAGCAAAGATGTTGGAAAAAGTTTTCAATTTTGAAAGATTTCCTATTTTGGAAAAGGTTGTCGAAAATGAAAAGTTTCCTAAAATGAAAATTTTTTTTAAAATGAAAATTTTTCTGTTTTAGAAATCAATTTTCTAATTTGAAAGTCGGTTCCAAATTTGAAAATAAGTTATCTAAAAAGGAAATTAGTTTCCTAATTTAGGTTATTGGAAAATTATTTATTATGTAGGCCTCCTAAAAAATATCTAACCTAATTTATTTGGATAGTCCAAATTAATTAATAATTAATTAGGCCAAAATAGTTTGGGCCAATAAGTTTAATTTAAAAGCCTAAAAGATATTTTGGTGGGAGAATAAACATGAGCCTTATTGGGTAAG